TGTGTGTGTGTGCGTGTGTTGTGTGTCGATGGTGTGGCATCGCCGCAGCGCATGCGCGTGTGCGTGTGCCTTTATGTGTGTGCGTGGGTGGGGGGGGTCAAACCCATCTGGACGATGGGTAATATGGTATATATATATCAGGAGTAGATAATAGGGAAGGAGTATGACTTCAATAAACAAGGGAAATTATTATAATACCTACGGTTTACTACGCGTAACTCATCCAACTTGAGCTCAAATCGTACACAGTACATTCGCCTAGCATCGTGCGAAATCGTTTCCTCGTATACACCCGCAATCCGGAGATACTGACTAAAACGTACGACACGATTTTCCATTCTGTAATTTCTGTTGCCAGCAAACTCGATGCGTTCAGCGCCGAATTTGAAACAAAAGGCAGCTACTGACCACAGCTTGCTCTCTCGGCCAGGCGGTGTGGCTCGCAGGGAGATTGGAGCTGGAGCTGCTGCTGATTGCGGTGAACGTGCGTGCGTGAGGAGCATACCAGCTGTATGCCGGTATGTAGCTGTATGCCGGGTCAAAGGTTATCTCGCCGAGTGTTGCGCCGATGTTTGGATGAGTTACGCGTAGTAAATCGTAGGTATTATAAGGCTAGTAAATGACGAATTTCCCTTGTTTATTGAAGTCACACTCCTTCCTATTATCTACTCCTGATATATATACAAATATATGCCTCCATTACACTGACAAGCAGGAAATATTGTTGGAACTACTTATCCATATTGCAATGCTTTTGCATCTAAAAACCTTTAGCTTTTGCAGTTTTTACCCGATCTCGGATCATCTTAAAATTTGGCATGAAGGTGCGTTATGGTAAAGCGAAGACGCCAATCGTTTTTGGTGTGGGTGCAGTCATTGTTGCCATGGTAACAACATTTTTGTGGAAATATTCTAGAACCTGTAACTTGTGCTGTTTTTACCCGATTGTCATGGAATTTGGCACACAGGGCCAATATAACATGTCCTACATATATATATATATATGTATATATTGGTCCTGTGTGCCAAATTTCATGACAATCGGGTAAAAACTGCAGAAGTTACAGGTTCTAGAATATTTTGACAAAAAATGTTGTTACCATGGCATCGATGACTCCGTCCACACCAAAAACGATTGGCGTCTTCGCTTTACGATAACGCACCTTCATGCGAAATATGAAGATGATCCAAGAAGAACTGCAGCCGGTAGAGCGCTCACAAGGAAATCTCTGCGGCGGCGCGACGAGGCCAAATCCATAGTATCCCCCCGAACTCGTTCGGGGGATACAATAATACCAGGAGTAAGATAATATAGATTATCTATATTATCTTACTCCTGATAATACTATAGTTAATACATGCTCGGGTGTGCTTGTGTGGAGATACTTTTTATGTTGAATGTTTGTTTGGCTTGGTACATATAATGTATTACCTACAGATTTATATAATGTACAGTGATACAATTTGTAAAAAAAAAGAATGGGAAAGATCAATAAAAATGTTTGAGTCGGACCCTTTTTGGCGGGTCGATCGGGTGAGGGCATACAAACAATATTTTTATCATGGCCCTATGCTCCAGGATGGGAAATATGTGAAAAGGGGGGTCTCCGGTGTGGAAATTTAGAGGTGAAAATGGAGGCAGGGTTCATAGTAGTAAGACACATGTTGAAATAAGGACTTATAAGACCCTTTCTGGAGGCCAAAATAAGACTTTTTTACGCGATTTCTGATAGATCACCGACTATTAAAGTACACTAATAACATTTATATACACAATTGCACAGAAGATTTAATTATTCCGTATTATATATACAACAATACTGCAAAAAATAAGGACTATTAAGTACTTTTCTAAGATTAGATTTCACCAAAAATAAGTACTAATAAGGGCCCTTATTTCATTTTTGGCAAAATAAGTACTTATAAGACTTTGGAAGACCTGCTACGAACCCTGTGGAGGTCATAACCGCGGCGCATACCTACCATACAATCAGGAGTAGATAATAGAAGACTATCTACTATAGAAGACTATCTACTAGAAGACTATCTACTAGAAGACTATCTACTAGAAGACTATCTATTATCTACTCCTGATACAATATATAGCGAGTACAGACCGTTTTAACCACAGACACTTGGAGCAATTCAGCCTACAGTGACGCCACACGCACGCCGCTGCACATTTATACATATGTGCAAATGTGCAGCGGCATGCGTGTGGCGTGACTGTAGCCTGTGGGCTCAACTGCTCCAAGTGCCTGTGGTTTTAGCAGTCTGTTAGTGTTACTGCCTACCAACAATAGGCGAAAGACTGAGAATATATTTAAACATTAAGACTTTATTTGTGTTCGTGTTCATTTACCATAATTTCATTATTGCATCGTTCCAAGGCTAACACACACACTGTCATGCTCACAGACACATTGTCACGCTCACAGACACATTGTCACTAGACACTACCTACTAGTTGGGTTAAATTATTGAATATTGTATCTATTCTCTACAGACTACCCAGTCGACCTGACACGAGGTTCAGAAATTGAGGAAATGTCACACCTGACCTCAGTATCACTGTCAGTATCACTGTCAGTATCGCTGAGAGGGTCTATATCCACTAGGGTACTGCCGGAACGTACCCTGGTACTATCTAATATATATATACCCTATACTATCTAATATGCCAGACCGTACCTCGCCTACTCCACTAACGAGTCTAGGGAGTCGCCAAGGGCATAGCAAGGAATTTGGATTGGGGGTGTCCTCGAGCGAGTAACAGCGAGTCTGGTAGTCTGAATTATTTTTTTTTAGTTAAATGTAAAAATAGTGCTTTAAAATCAATTTAGACGCCGTTTTGTTGACAATACTATTTCTTCTGCAGCTCTACAACGCCACCTAACCCGACCATGCTGTGTGACTAACGTCTTTTTTAACGAGGCCAGGATTAGGCCCAGCTACGTGCTTTTAAGAGAAGAAAAAGAGAAAAAAAAATTTATTTTGATTTTGATTGCATGGGGGGGACTGCATGGGATTGCATGGACAAACATGGGGGGTCCTACTCCTAGGGCCCCCAGGACCCCCCCCCCCCAGCTACGCGATTGGGAGTCGCCTATGCCTACTCCCTAACCATATCAGATAGGCCTAGTTACGGTTCAAGGATAGAGAACATGAGTCCCATTGAGACCTATGTCATTTTCGTAAATGTGGGGGTAGTCACTTTAAAATCGACAGGGGTACTGTTACTAATACTAATAGTAATACTAATAGGTAATACTAATAGTAATATAGCCCGACCAGGCTGTGCGATGGATTGTCATATACGGTATTGTAACCCTAGCATAGCTCTAGTACTATAGCCCGCGGATCGCTGCCGCAGCGATCCGCGGGCTATAGTACTAGAGCTAACCCTAGCAATACCGTTTCTTGGAGCTAATAGTAATACTAATAGTCAGCCTAATGCTCATAGGGTCTATGTCCCCCAGGGTACTGCCGGAACGTACCCTGAGTACGGTTCGGTATACCGGAACGTACCCTGGTCACTATTTGATATGGTTAGGGTTAGGATTAGGGTTAGGGGGCGCAAATCCACTTTAGGCACCTTATGTACCACGAAGTGATGCACAGATTTCTATGTATCATCAACTGATGCACAGACTTTCCGTATATCAAGGAATGCATGCAAAAACACCCTAAACCCTAAACCTACCCTACCCCTAAAGTCAATTAAGTATAACCTTGAGCTCCTTAAGGTAATATCACAAGTGCCTGTTTAGCGTTAGGGTTAGGGTTAGGGTTTTTGCATCATTCCTCTGATATACGGAAATTCCTGCTGCATCAGTTGATTGATAAGGACTGTCCATCGATGACCACCTCATCGATAAATCGCGATGGATTTGCGTCCGATATCGATAATCGAATAAATCGAAAATAGCGACCAATTTTTTTTTTTTTTTTTTTTTTTTTTTATTTTTGTGCTAAAAAATGTAAAGCCATGCCGGAGCAATACGGTAGCCATGTTGTTGACTTCCGAGCGCCGCGCCGGCCAATTATATTCGAAGTAGTCCAGAGGCGCATCATACAGAGACAATGCAATAAACTGTGGTGTTTCTACTTGTCTCTGGTAGCGTTATCCCTGTCTCACTGGATCTCTATTAATAAAAAGTCTGTACTACCAGTAAAAGCATCGTACCTGCTGCCTTCGCCAAGTCGCCGGCGACGCGCCCCACCAGACTGCACGCACGAGCTCCCAGGTCAATCTGGTTTGACATTCAGATAAATAATATAATTACTTCGCCCCATAGATTGTATTTAAGCACAGCCGATGTATAAAATTGCCATAGTTATCCCCCATCAATAGAGACACACGCCCAAATACATGAGTTTCTGTACTATTTAATCAAACGGCGGCTAATGTTTTATTACAATTATTATTAAATCGAAATCGGACTGATCGGAGATCAGGGACGATACCGAAATCATCGAAAAAAAAAAAAAATATGCAAATAATGAATCGAAATAATTTGATAACCAAATGAAAAGTCCCTAAAGTTGATTGATACACAGAAATCCTGTGCATCCAACTTCGTGATATCCTAAGGTTGCCTAAAAGTGATGGGTTGACGGTTCGGGTTCGGGTTAGGGGAGTAGGCGTAGGCGACTCCACCCAGACTGCGCTAGGTGGGCTTCAAGGACCTGAGAACATGGGTCCCAGATAAAACCAATGTCACATTTACATCAATATAAATATAATATTTATATCAAGTATAATAGGTCTAGGGTATAAATGGTTACAAGGCGTTTTCATTCGTTTAGGGTTAGGTTAAGGTTTTAGCCTTTAGGGTTAGGGTTAGGGTTAGAATTAGGAGTTAGTGGTTAAAGTTAGGCACATTGGTTATTAAATTGAGACCGCATGTTCTCTATCCTTGGGCCGCGTTAGTGGAGCTAGCGCGAGGTACGGTTCGCATATGTAGAAATGAGTACCAAGGGTAATCTGGTCATACGAACCGTAACCCAGGCAGGGTACGTTCCGCGGCAGTACCCCGGGGGACAATAGACCCTCTCAAGCAATACTAATAGTTAGATACTAATAGTAATAGACCCTATGATGATACTATGAGTATGAGCGTCATTATCATTTACCGTTACAACTTACGCATTCACTGACGGTCGCATTATGATTGCGGTCGTTAATCTTACCTATTTTAGCTAGATAAACGTAGTTTCCTAGCTGTGATTTCTTTTGGTGACCTCTCTCTAGTATACTGTACAGTGTGTGCCTGACATTCACACGACTGAAAAAACGTTTTTCGTTTACTTTCCAGGCAGGTTGTGATCGAACGCTACGGTCGGACGGTCCAATCATAATCGTTGCACGCCATCTAACGACGTCACAAATGAACAACACAAACTATTTTGCGGCCCACCACATTTGACTTTTATTCCCTCCTATTGATCAATGACAGTAGCAGATTTAATTATTTATTATTTATTAATTTATTAATTTAAAGACGGTATATTTGTAACAGATATGTCAACATGAGCTTGCAAGCTCCTCACCGTGAAAGTTCAAAGATCAAGTCCGCAATGCTCACTCTACACCTATAAAAATATTATAAATAGATATTAAAATTTATAATAATAAATATAAACGTTTATACACATATTATAGTATCACTACAAGCTTAACAAGCACTCGCAATAATATCTCAGTGAATAATATTGTGCTGATGCAACAGGTAGGGCCTACTACAGCCACAGCGAGTCCTGATAGAATAACCCAAATGTTAGTTAGTTCACAGTAAATATTTTAACCTTCTTCAGTCCTCAATAAATATTTTCATTTCTCACTATAAACCAAGCAACTTTAGGATCCGTAAAAAATTAGTGCCAAAACACAATTCATGGCAAAAAATTAGGCTAATATAAGCAGAAAAGAACGTCTGACGGTAAAATATATATGTCATATATTGGTTTCACGACAGTTTTTGTAGTTTTCCGCCTCGGGTCATAAGTTATACAGTAACACCCATCACGAGATCAGGAAAATTTGTCGCAGGAAAATTTGTCACAAGGAAAATTGGTCACAGGAAAATTATTCACAAATAGTGTAAACCTTGGTTTGCTATAATGTTTAGGGAAAAGGCGCTCCAACGTCGGTCGCCGTTGACTGCAAAAATAAGTTTCTTCGGCCGTTCTCATACGTTCAAACTAGTCGCTGGCCGACGACGGCACGTGTGCATGGTAAAATCTTATCTACATGCTGCACTTTGCTTGCAGCATAGCGCCACGATTCTCAGCTATGCTAATGTACAGGAAAAAAGGGCTCCGACTTCGGTCGCCTTTGACTGCCAAGATAATTTGCTTCGGCCGTTCTTATACGTCCAAACTGTAGCCAGACAGGCTGACAGCACGTGTACGTGCTTGGTAAACTCTGATCTATAATATTCTCATATCTCGCA